GGGTTATTAAGCATATTTCTAAATCTCCTAAAATATGGAGGTATTCTAGTTCCTTATTTTTTTTTTTTTTGAGGAAAATTAGCCCTGAGCTAACATCTGCTGCCAATCCTCCTCTTTTTGCTGAGGAAGACTGGCCCTGAGCTAACATCCGAGCCCATCTTCCTCTACTTTATATGTGGGATGTCCGCCACAGCATGGCTTGCCAAGCGGTGCCACATCCACACCCTGGATCTGAAGCAGTGAACCCCAGGCCGCCAAAGCGGAACATGTGCACTTAACTGTTGCGCCACCAGGCCAGCCCCTCTAATTTTATTCTTGTTATTGATTTATATCTTAACTGCATCTGGTCAGAGAACATAGTCATTATGATTTTAATCCTGTGACACCTGAAACTTGCTTTTAGCCCAGTACGTGGTCAATTTTTATAAAAGTTCATGTGTATTTGAAAGAAGGTGTATATGGCATTTGTTGGATGCAGTGTTCTTTATATATCCATTAGGTCAAGTTCATTAATTGTGGTTGTTCTAATTTTCTACAACTTTCCTAATTTTGTTTGTCTGCTTGTTCCATCAATCACTGAAAGATATTTGTTGGATTCTCCCACTATCATTATGGATATTTCTATTTCTCATTGTACTTCTGTCAAATTTTGCTTTATATACTATGAAGCCATGTAACTAATTATGTATAAACTTAAAATTGTTAAATCTTATTTTTTAGAGTCTACCTTATGTAACCTTCATCTATCTACAACAGCTTTTCTGTAGTTAGTGTTTGCATTATGTGTTACTCCTCTTCTTTTACTTTCAAACTTTCTGTATTCTTATGCTTTATATCTGCCTCTTATAAAACATTATGAAGTTTCAAAAAAATCCTAGCTGACAACGTTTTATCTGTTTTCTTTTATCCATTTACATTTAATGAAATTGCTCATACATTTATCATTATAATTTATTCCATTTGTTCCACTGCTCTATGTACCTTTTCTCCTTTCTTGCCTTGGTTTACTTTTTATCATTCTATCTTTTTCTATAAATTAAAAGTTATACACTAAAACAACAACAAAAAAACCCTCTTTTCTTACAGATTACTCTAGAGATTACAACATGCATCTCCTACTTATCAAAGTATAATGTTAACAGGTACTTTTCCCCATCTTCCCAGGTAATATACAGCCCTCATAAACTTTAACTCTATTTACTCCACTGCCAACTATTATTGTCATATATTTTAATTCTGTCTGTAAATCCAACAAAACATTATTATTGTTTTAAAAAGTCTGCATTAATTTGATTTACCCACATATTTTCTACTATTTTTACTCTTTATTTCTTCCTAATCTCCAACCTTTCATCTGGTATTTTCCTTCTGCTTGAAAAATTTCTTTAGAATTTCCTTTAATACTAAGAGTCTCCTGGTAATTTCCATAGTAAGTTTTTTAAGGGAGGAATATCTGAAAGATGCTTATTTCCTCTTCATTTTTGAAGGGTTTTTCTGCTAGGTACAGGATTCTAGGTTACCATTTATTACCTTTCAGAGCTTTGGATATGTTACTCCATTGTCTCCTTCTTCCATTACTTCCATTAAGAATTTACTGTCAGGGGGCTGGCCCCATGGCCAAGTGGTTAAGTTTGTGTCTTCCGCTTCAGCAGCCCAGGGTTTCATGGGTTCAGATCCTGGGCGCGGACATGGCACTGCTCATCAAACCATGCTGAGGCGGCATCCCACATGCCAGAACTAGAAGGACCCACAGCTAAAAATACACAACTATGTACCGGGGGGCTTTGGGGAGAAAAAGGAAAAATAAAATCTTATTTTATTATTATTATTATTTTTTTAGGAAGATTAGCCCTGAGCTAACGACTGCCGATCCGTTTTGCAGAGGAAGACCGGCCCTGAACTAACATTCATGCCCATCTTCCTCCACTTTATATGTGGGATGCATGCCACAGCATGGCTTTTGCCAAGCGGTGCCATGCCTGCACCCGGGATCTGAACTGGCGAACCCCGGGCCTCCGAGAAGCAGAATGTGTGAACTTAACCACTGAGCCACTGGGCCAGCCCGGAAAAATAAAATCTTAAGAAAAAAAAAGAATCTACTGTCAGTTTAATTGTTCTCTTTTCAAAGTAATCTCTCTTTCTCTGGCTGCTTTAGGAATTTTTTCTTTGTCTTTCATCTGAAGCACTTTTACTAAGACATGCTGCTTATGTTATTTTCTTTGTATTCATTCTGCTTTCGTTTACAGGGGTTTTTTGATCTGTGGGTTAATGTTTTATAAGTTTTAGAAAATTTTATCCATTATCTCTTCAAATATTGGTTCTACCCCATTCTCTCTCTCTTCCCTGGGACTCCAAAACATTCAGATGATACGCCTATTCACTGTATCCTCTATTTCTCTTATGCTTTTTTCAGTATTTTACTTTTTCTCATGATTTATTCTAGATTGTTTCACCTGACCTGTCTTCTAGTTCATTTGTTCTCTGTTCAACTTTATTGAGTCTTTTATTAATTCATCTGTTAAGTTTTTAAATTTATTTTATTTTTCATTCCTAGAATTTTCCTTTAGTGCTTTGGCAACTCTGTTACATCCCCTTTATAATTCACAGTTCTCTACCAAAATTTTCAATCTAGTCTTCCATGTTCTTGAACATAATAAGCATTGCTTTGTTTTTAAGCATAGTTATTTTAAAGTTTGGTCTGATAAAGCCAATGTCTGGAGGACTGGGGGTCTGTTTCATCCTTTGCTGTTTCTGTTGATTCTCATTCATGTCGTTGTCTCCTCATCTGCTTATTTATTTTTGGTTGTGAGCCACATATTATATCTGAAAGACTGTAGTAATTTCAAGGTCCTACATGATGTTATCTTAGTCTGGAGAAGTCTGCTTTTGCCAGGTGCCTGGGACGACCTTATTTATATTTCATGGATTGAAATGATTGAAGGTAGGCTGTAGTCTCTTCCAGGCTGTTCTATTTCTAGCTCACGCTTACTCTTACAGTGATGCAACTTCTGGGAGTCCCAAACTAATGAGCAGAAGCTTACGAGCACTCACATCATACTTGGAAAGCCATGAACCTCAACTGTTTTAGCTTCTATCAGGAGGGCTGCTCAACCTCTTAGTCCCCCTCTTTCGAAATTCATGAATGTCTTTAGGAGAGAAATAGTCCCAAATGTTGGTCTTATCTCTCTGGATTTATGCCATTTTACAGATCTCAACTTGGTAATTCTTTATTACTTTGTTAGCCTCCTGAATGTCTTCAAAGCAAATTTTAAAAATATTTTGTCTAGCTTTTTTAGGTAAAAGTAAGGGTTGATTTAAGTGATCTAGTCTGTCATGACTAAAACAGAAATTCTTAGTTTATGTCACTTAAATAAAACCAAAATTGTACTGTGGTTTTCGTGTGGTTTCAGGAAGGAATGGAATTACAAGTGTGTTCAATTCATCATCTTAACCTAAAAGGTTATTCTTTTTTTGTGTGTGACGAAGATTGTGCCTGAGCTAACATCTGTGCCAAATCTTCCTCTATTTTGTATATGAGACACCACCACAGCATGGCTTGATGAATAGTATGCAGGTCCACGCCCGGGATCCAAACCTGCGAACCCCAAGCCACCAAAGCAGAGCATGTGAACTTAGCCACTACGCCACTGGGCGGGCCCCTAAAAGGTTATTCTTAATTTCCTTTCAGAAAAAAATTTAAGAACCATATATTAGCTTATGTCCACATACCTTGTAAAAAATACGAATGAGAAAATTTTATCCATTTAATTTTGCATGTAGACTATTTAACAGATTTTCCATGAGCACCAATAGCTCTACTTTATTCACTCACAAGCTCTGCTCCATCTGCTCTGCACCTTCAGTGGAATCTGAAGTGTAAGATGGTGCCACCATCTTTCCAGTGTCTTCTGCATTCTCAGATAAATTAGGACCTACCTTTAAAATCAAACCTCCTACAACACACTAGAAAGAAAATACTTGGCCACACATACAACAAAATGATACTATATGAATATCTTTCACAGGCCAATAAGAAGAAAACCAAAGAAAGATGCACATAACCCAGTAGAAAAATGGGCAAAAGGCATGAACTGACAATTCACAATTGTCAAGAGAAATAAATGTGGTCAATAAACATAAGGAAAATGTTCATTAGTCATCAGAAAAATGCAAATTAAAATTTAAAAAACAGCACACTATAAAGAGTATTGGGGAGAGAACTGTGAACTGTGCCTCACACACACAAAATGTAGACTGGTACAGCCTTTCTAGAGGTTATCAGTATCCAATTTAAAATTGTAAGTACTAATTGACACAGATATTCAATTTCTAGAAATTTATCCTATGGAAATAATCAAGAAAATGTTATTCTTAATTTCCTAAAACTGCCTTTCTTTCTTTCACACTATATATCAAAATCTGACATATTTATTTATTGTTTATCTTCCCTCTACTAGAATATAAGCTTATTGAGAGCAAGGACCTAAACAGTACCTGGCACACATCAGACATGTAATAAATATTGGTTGTTGAACAAAGATTTTTCTATAAGAATTTTCAAAACTGTGGGGTTTTAAAAGGAAAAAGTTGGAAACATTCCAAAATCCAACAGCAGGGTATTGGTTAAAACAAAGAATGATCAACATGGACAACTATGTAACCATTAAGAATTATTCAACAAAAAAACAGTAAATGGTCATGATACTATCACATGACCTCATTTTTGCTGAAAAGAAAAGAGAGAGGAAAAAATGTATGCAAATATAAAAGATGGCTAACACAGCATATACACCAAGATGTTAAGAGTGGATATCTATGAGACGGTAGGATTATGGGTAACTTTTTTTTTCTTATTTATACTTTCCTGTATTTTTCAAATTTTATTTTTCTACAATGAACAAAATTCTTTTTTAATAACAAAAAGAAATTATTTTAAACAAACTAAAACCAAAAGCAAAACTTCTTTGTTTCTAGTTCAAATGAGGAAAAGGCAAGTTTACCTTCAATTTCATCATCGGAAATCAATTCATCATCAGAGCATATGTTGAGAATGTTAACCAGCATCTCTGTGACTACATGATAGGACAAAATAACCAAAAATTTATATAATTAATAAGGTCCTTTCTCTAAAATGATGTGGTTATCTAAATAAACATACATGTTAAATAAACATAGACAAAAATGATTTGTCATTATTCTATTAAGAGTAGCTTTACAATTTTGGAAGACATTTCTCTGTCCCCTTCATTCTAATGCCTATTTTTTATAACTTCTCCAAAAACATCCAAAGAGATAGAATTGTGTCTCAGGGTCACATTAAAGAAACATTCATTTGAAAAAATATTATTGAAGAATACCAATAATGGAATCCTGGCTTTGGGGGGGGGGGGGGGGCGAATAGCTTTAAAAGAGTAGCATTAAATGTAGACCTTCAGGTTTATATAGCATTTGGGGAGATTACTTGCTCCAGTAAAAGTCTGGAGTATTTGAATAGTCTACTGCATAATTACTTGATTTCATCAGGCTGCTGTCCAGAGCCTTTTCCTCACTGATATGCATATGAAAAGATTTTGTCCCACTTTACAAAGAAGTTAAGCCACCAGGCCTATGTCCAACAGGGTTATTTTATATTTGCATAGCTTATTTGTATAGGAGCACAAGCAAAATTCTAAGGACAAGACTTCCTATTTAAATCTCCTTATCGCTGAAGAAATCTCTGAAGGAATGACGTAGTGACATGTCATTTTAGCATCTTGCTCACAGTAGGACAGTTAATTTAAACTGATATACAGAATAAGAAAAGCATAATCGATTAGAATTATAATTTAAAAACCAATTAAGTGCCATTTAAAAATCTTTGTAGAGAACAAAGCAAATTAGAAAACATTTCTTTCCTTTTTTTGGTGAGGAAGATTGTCCCTGAGCTAATATCCATGCCACTCTTCCTCTATTTTGTATATGGGATGCCAGCATGGCATGGCTTGATGAGCGGTGTACAGGTCTGCGCCCGGGATCCGAAGCCACAAACCCCAGGCCACCAAAGCGAAGCGCACGAACTTAACCACTACACCACCAGGCCAGTCCCAGAAAACATTTCTGATAACTTTAAGAAAAACACTTCTGAGCCATCTGGGGCTCATGCAGATATAAAAGTGTGCTCAGTCACTAGTTAAGACAAGTGATGGTCCAGATGCTTTAGTTCTCTTACCTTTCTCCCCAACAAAAGGCAAAGACCACGTGAAAACATCCATGAAGTTCGGAAGCCAGTAGGGGTGAGGAGAACAGTTGAACTGCCGGATGTTCATGACGTTGTTCTCATATTTTAACACAGCAGCTAAAAAGGAAAAGGCAGGACATTCTGCATAGAGGAAGGTGACAAGGCTGCCGGGACGCTTTGTACAGTTATGCGCCTACTACACACAATTCACCAACTTCCTTTGCACTTGTAAATTCAGGACTTGGTATTTAAGGGCAGATGGAAATCTTAAAGCATTTTATACAGTTCATTCTTTTAAGAATTATCCCAAGTGACAAAGTTACCTGAAGAGGTATAATATAATAAAATAATAAAATATAATAAACATAATAAAAGTACAAAAGAAACTGAGCTCTGAAACTTCAAAGGGTCACCACACAGCAACTATCTACAGAAATCTCAGGTTCCACAAGAGAAAAACTTTGTCATAATTTCCCTTTATATGCCAAATGGTTACAATCACAACTCTCCTTTGAGGGCAAAGATTTCTCACTAAATGGACACAGCCAGTTTTGCTAGTCATTAGCCAGAACCACAGATTTTATAGAGTTTATAACATAGCAGTCACTGATTCACAGTGGGGGTACAGATGGTTCAACAGAGCAATTTACAACAAGGTTCAAAAGTAGATTAAATCATCTCTGCATACAATAGAGTGGATTAAAACATGCCCATCTCTCCTACACACAGTCAGTACCTTGCTAGCACTCTATAAATGTTTAATACCAATCAGTTCATAAATTTGCACACATACTTTGGTACTAAACTGATTTTCTTTATATTTTAAAAGATTCAAATCCAATTCCTTAGTCTTCAACAGCAGCAATGCAATGTTGTTTGCATTACTCTCTTAATTATTCTCACTGTGATCATAAATAAAATAGGGTATAACACTTCTCTAGACATGACAAATATAAGTCATCTTCTGGTTGCTGTTTCTTTGCTTAATATAGGATTGCCTAGTGTTCTCAAAATTTAAGTTACTGAATGTCTAAAATGTACACCATCAATTATAATGAAAATAGGATCTCCAGCACTTAAAAACTAAACACTGGCCACAATGTACATTATTTTCATATATGTATATTTTATTTAGGTTAGATAAATATATAATTATTGAACAATTCCCTCAATCTACACAGGAAAAAAGAGGCAGGAGGTGGGTCTCAACAGTGGATCATTAGAAACGAGAACTTCAAAACTGCTTTGGGGTGTGTTCCCAGCGGCCACAAAAAAAAAAGAGGAATAGAAATCTTTAAAAATCCTGACTTAAGGGTCTTTCATATAACCAGTGGAACCAAGAAATACCTGTTGGTACCAATAAGTCAAAAAACATGAAAGAAAGAAAAGCAACAGTAGAAGAAAGAGAAGAAGGAAAGGAGCAAAGAGTTGCCTTTTTCAAGAAAAGAGGTACTTGTATGGGGAGTAACTGAGGACCACCAGAGATTGTTTCAGTGCCACATTTTCTGCCTTTTTCCTAAAAAAAAAGGCTTCAGAAGCAACCAAGGAAAATAAGATTGTTTCAAGATAAAGTTACCAATTACGTCAAAGCTGACAGAAAACTCAGGTAGAATGGACTATGACTTTAAAGTTTACTAAAGGAATAATCAAGAACAAAACCAGACTAGAATGGGGCAAAAAGTGAGCTGGCAGTTAGTTAGTAAAATGACTGCCGATTTAGGTGACATCTTCCAGCTTAGCATGCTGATAAATCCACTGAGCAATCAATAGATATTCGTAACAGTGAGGTGAAAAAAGAAGTGAGAAGAGAAAGTCTTCATCTCAAGCATGAGGACTAGAGCCACTGCATCCTTGAGAAGTTTAAGACGAGCAGCACATTCCATTCATCAGGGAGGAAACAAGACCAGAACTAAGTCTCATGTATTTTGGAAATATAAGGAAAAAGGAAATAAGAAAGAATGCAGTTAGGGAGAAGCAGAGGATTATAGGATAGCTAAGACTCAGAAAAGAATGACAAGAAGTCAAAAGGAAACAGAAGGCTTCAAGACAACTTAAAGTCAAAGAAATGCTCTTTAAAAATGGACAGCAAGTCACTGAAAGACACACTGAGATGACTGATCCAAATCAGATTTACATGAGATGTGCCATTCCATAGGTTACTTGTAAATAGACTAAATAGTATGCATATTGTGGACCTCTTTTAAACTTCTCTTCCCCAGCTGCATATACAAGGTATGACTATAAAGTAATGAGACTAAGAAACCACCAACTACAAACATACCAGACCTTATATATCAGATGAGTGTGGTCCTCTGATGTAATCACACCAGGTACAATAACAGTAAGATGTTATACAGTATTGTAGCAATTTATAGTTTGACCAATGCTTTCAATATTCATTTTTATTATTCCAACTTAACTTCAACAATCCTATAAGACAGTATTTTAAAGATAAACTGAGGCTCAGAGAAGTGAAGTATATTGTTAGTGAAGTAAAGTATCTTGTTAACTGAATTTAAAAAGTGAAGCAAGAATAGACTAGGATTTCTGACTCCTAGCTTAGTGCCATTTTCCATACACCCTGCTGCCTTACCATATATTTAATACAAAGATGCTGCCATTACTCAAAACATTTTTGGAACTCCTCTTTTAGAATTAGGTCCAGAGCTATTTTATAGCAACACAAGAAAAATCAGTCTCATTACCTTATAATCACACCTTGTTTCTGACCCCAAATGGTATCATCTAGCTTATCACTCACCTTATTCATTAGTCTTGACTCCGAATGACTTTTGGCTGTTTCAAAAATCAAATCCACCCTCAAAGGACGCAGATTTCCCATCATTGAGGATAACCAAAAGAATGTGTCGCAGACTCTGAAGGCAATGCCAAAAGAGGAGTTCCAAAAATGTTTTGAACAAGGGCAGCATTGCTGGACTAAGTGTATAGCCTCCCAAGGTAACTGCTTTGAAGGAACAACACTCACTGGGGTACATATGTTCTGGCATGTTTGTTTAAAACTTCCATTATCGTATAGTCACACTTTATAACAACAAAATAGTTACAGAGGCATGAAGTATTTAGGTGGACCACTGCTCTGATACAAAACTTACGAACTATGAATCCTAAAAATTAAATTAAAAAAAAAGACTTTAATAGAATAAAGTCTTAGAAGTAGAATGTCTGGATCAAAAGGCACGTGTACATTCAGTCTTCTTTTTTTATATGAGACACTGAGGTTTAGAAAGATTGTGTGACTTACCTAAGTCACACTATTAGTTTCTGGCAGGGCTTGGACTAAAATGAAGATTTTTCTGACTTTTTGTACAGTATTCATTCTCCCTGTACCATTCCTTAAGAAGAGCAAAACCAGCTTAATAATTCACAAACATTAAAATACCAGAAGGTGACATTTTATTGAGGTACTGTTATGAATAATTAAATTCAGCAAAACCAATAACTTACGCTGACTGTTCTAACTTGACCCTGCAGTAATTTATTCTTCTTATATTTTAATTCAGTAGTATCAGTCAGACCTATTGTGATTACTATTTACACTCAGAAAGAGCCCAATAATCCTTAGGAGATGAAAACCAAGCAGTAGCTTAAATTCTAAGTTTTTCAGCCTTTGTTTCAATTAAGACCTCTTTTTTTTCTTATTTAAAACTCATACATATTTAAAAACACATATACATACAATTAAACTAGAGCTCGCATTTACTCACAAATCCAAACTCAAGTATCACTGGACTCCTTTACCTTTATTGTTATAGACATCTAGGTAATTGGGGGCAGAGAAAATTGTAATGAGTGATGGAAAGCCTGTTGTTTGGCTCTTCCTGTACATTCGATACCTGGAAGAGAGATGACAGCCCATCTGTCTTCATATCAAAGGCAAAAATTCTGCAGTGATATTTGGTACAGTTTTAATATAACTTACCCGGCATCTTGGGCTTCATGGGCTCTGATTATTGATAACAAATTATTGTTCTGCAAAAATTCACAAACTGCAGGGTAACTGAAAAAGAAAATTAGAAAACATAAACCCAGAATTTAAAAAACTGTTGTTTTAATAGGAGGAAAGGGAAAAGTCAGGATAATATGAATTGATTTTGTTTCAAAATTATAAGTTTTACATAGAACTGAACTTTTATTAATAGCTTAGCAGTCATTACTCGGTTCTTCCATTTCACTAATATATCTCATTCCAGATCAAATATGCAGATAACAGACAACCCTAGCACAGAAACAGAGCTCCCTCACCTTTTAATTTTTTTGGTCTTACCTGTACAATAATAACACAACACCAAAACTTTTCTTGGTATGTTGATATAAAAAAAAGTACCTCAGTAATGTGTGTGTTTGTATAGTAGGTGCTAGAAACTGAACACACAATCTTCAAATTGTCAAATTGTTGGAAAAACTGAAGAACCTACTTACATCTTCACAGGAAATATCAACACCAAGATGATATTATGCAGGAATATTTCAAGAGTAAATGCAAATATTATACCCAGCATTATTCTAACGAAAAGTACGATATTTGCATCTATTCCTAACATATTTGTTTAGTACTATTATCTTTCTGAATGACAAATACCTGAAAAGAAGAACTGGAGAATACGAAATTATCCAAATGTTAATTATTTAGTTTATGTTTAAATCTCTTTATTACGCTCATCAGAAAAAAATAATTTTTAAAAGAGGGTGTATATTCACAGGGTATAAAATTGAAAGACACGAAAGAGTATACAGTGAAATGCCTCTCACCTTTCTACCTATATCTTCCAGCTACCCTGGAAGCAACCAATGTTGCTGGTTTCTTCGAGCACCATTTCAGAGATATTTTATTCAATTTCAAGCAATCATACATACACACATGCACATGCCCCCTCACTTGCAGGAATGTTATGAGATGGTACATAGGTCTGTACTACGTCTTTTTTTTCACTTCACATTAGTGATTATTGCATATCAGTATATAAAGACTTTATTTTCTTTTCTTCATTTTTAAAAACAGCCTCATTGCATTGTCTGCTACATTCCACTGTCTAGGTGTACCATAATTTCTTTAACTAGTCTTCTACTGAACGTTTAGGTTGTTTTAAATCTTTTATCATAAATAATGTAGCAATGGATAACATTGTTACATACATTTTATACACTGGCAAGTATAGTGGATTCTAGTTATTTGCGATAGCTATGCTCTACGAAGCTGCCGCAGAAACTGAACTAGTGAATGCTGAACCAGTGCTCCCAGGGAAACACAAGGTCAAGGTCCTCTGAGCCTCTCTGGTCACAACTTTTTCATCAACTGATCAATACATAACTTTGTTTTATGTGTGTTTCTGAGTAAAGACAAATTATTTAATATATATTGTTGATTCATTAACATGGAACTCATAGCCAACAATGCCTTAACTCGCTCTGAAATGAAGTTTATATAGCACACACGTATTTGCTCTGTAAGGCACATCACAGTCTTCCTGCATGTACGAACACTAGACAGCACTTCAGCACTATGCTTGGGGGCATTTTAAACAGAGAAATCACCAACAAAAAATGTGAAAAATGTTGCACTAAATAGACCACACAAAAAAATACTTACAGTATGAGATATGCTTACAGTATGAGATCTGAAACAAGAAGTCAGAGCAACTCATTGTTCAGCCTCAGCTGGGAACACATGCAGTGACTCAAAGTTTTCATCACTCTGCCTGTATGCACGTTTGCAAACGACCATGAGAGCGCTATGAGTATTGATGTTGGGGTTACAAATAAATCTTAGCAACTGGGCATATTTGCGAATGAGAATTCATGAATAACGAAGATCTAATACAGCCACAGGAGTGTTTAGAGTAGAACCTCTGGAGCAAAGGCCATGGCACTTATGACTAAGAGACACCGCCAGGTTGACCGCCACAGAAACTGTGCTAACAGTAAAGAAGTATTATGCTCTTTCTTTTAAGCAATGTAAGAAGAAATAAAATTTAAAAGAGTTCATCATATTAGTCACTGCTAAAATTGGCAGAAAGGAATGAAAAAAGGTTGCTAAGAAGGTGTTAAAACCACAGAAAATTGAGGCCTCTTACTTTTGTATATGACTGTCATTTAAGGAATGCCTGATCTTAGGCAATTAACAAAGATTTTTAGGGGACTAAATACATGTATTATTTGTCACAATAAAATATTTGGATTAAAAAATTTTGACTTCAAACTTTCTTATATCTCCCTATTTTTGAGTGCAAAGCCCCGTGAAAGCTTCCATATGAGATTTAAGACAACAGCCAACTCCCAGGAAATGTCCTGGGCTTAGTTCACAAGGTCCTGTTCTTTTTATATCTTTGTATATACCAGTGGTTCCACAAGCGGCAGAACTTTTTAAAAAGTAACAGGATTCCCCTCTCTCAGACCTACTGAATCAGAATCTCTGGTAGAAGAGCCAAAAAAATTTTTTTTCCTCCCCAAAGCCCCAGTGCATGGTTGTATATCCTAGTTGTAAGTCGTTCCAGTTCTTCTATGTGAGCCACCACCACAGCATGGCAACTGACAGACATGTGGTGTGGTTCTGAGACCAGGAAGTGAACCCAGGCCGCCAAAGTGGTGAGCACTGAACTTTAACCACTAGACCATCAGGGCTGGCTCAAGAAATCTTTTTCTTTTGAGGAAGATTGGCCCTCAGCTAACATCTGTTGCCAATCTTCCTCTTTTTTTTTTTTTCTCCCCAAGCCTCCGTACGTAGTTGTATATCCTAGTTGCAGGTTCTTCTAATTCCTGTACGTGGGATGCCACCTCAGCATGGCTTGATGAGCGGTGTCAGGTCTGTGCCGAGGATCGGAACTGGCGAACCCTGGGCTGCTGAAGCGGAGTGTGTGAACTTAACCACTCTGCCACAGGACCGGCCCCAGGAAATCCTTATTTTTAAAACAGTCTATAGATGATGTGTGGGAACAAATAATCTAGATCATTTAGAGTAAGACCACACTGAAGCACTGCAAGACGTCCTGTTCAGTCGTGTTCAGTATACTACACTTATTAGGGCATAACATCTAATCAAATAGAAACAAACAAGAGTATCAAAAAATTACACAAATTCAAGATGTAAAATCCTTAAAAATAACTTAATATATATTACAATTTCCTAATTTATTAACTCTGAGGACGGGCTTACCTGTAAAAATACGAGCACCCTCGGACAGTGTTGTGGGTATAGTGCTCCAAGGTCTTCTCATTGCCGTAATCCTCTGAGGGATCAGACCAAAGAAGGTCACACACTGGCCCAAAGGCTGGAGGCTCCTTAAACCTGTCTAACTAAAACACACAAAAGCAAAAAGAAGAAAAATCATGAAAGCAAAGGAGCTTTTGGAAACTGGTATGGGTCAAAAACTCTTCCACCCACAAGAGCATACGAGGAGAGATGGTAAGCCTCTGGAGGATATTCCTGCAAGAAAATGAATATTAACAAATTTAGATAAAGAATTTTTATTTTCTGTAATAGACTTTTATAAATATCCGTGTCATCTAACCATACTGTAGAAAAGGACTCCCTCACATCCTAATCTTAAAGTGGCACACTCATTTAATTTGAATGTGAAATCAACCACTATAGAGATACACTACTATTTAGAAAGATTATGTTTGTTTGTTTGTTTGAGGAAGATTAGCCCTGAGCTAACATCCGCTGCCAATCCTCCTCTTTTTGCTGAGGAAGACTGGCCCTGAGCTAACATCGGTGCTCATCTTCCTCTACCTTATATGTGGGACACCTGCCACAGCATGGCTTGCTGAGTGGTGCCATGTCTGCACCCGGGATCCGAAAGGGCGAACCCCAGGCTGTCGAAGTGGAACGTGGGAACTTAACCACTGCGCCACCGGGCTGGCCCCCTGGAAAGGCCATGTAAAGTTCATTTCGATTGCCCAGGTAAGCCAGTGTTACCATGAGAACAGGAAGGGGTGTACAATGGCTCTGTTTATTGTCTACCTCATTCCAATGGAGATTTCTTTATTTTAAAGAATGGTAGTTCTATTTTGTAAAGGGCTTTCATCCTTTCCATTCTGTGCAGTGGAGGTATTTCCATATCAGTTACTAATTTAAGCCTGCAGTTACTGCTGCTTTGGTTAAAAGCATAAAAGCCAAGAGAAAACAAGTAACCAGAAAAGCCGAGTGTCAAGAAGAGGACTTCTGTTAAGTGAAAGGGGAGCTTTTTATTAATATAATTGATTAAGAAATGTAAAATTCAAGACATACTATGTAAAAGAGAAATGCTGGTTATTTAAAAGACTATCAGGCAGCAGAAAAGGCAGCGTACATAGGCACACCCTCTCACCCTGAGGAGAGTAACCTTAATTCTGAGAAAAGTCTTATAAACAGAAAAAACTTTAGTTTCTGTACTTGTATGAGACAGGTAAGATAACGCAAAGGTAGAGGAGAGAAGACGGTAATATAGAACAAAACGAGTGTAAAAAAAGTCTGATCTTCTTTTTTCAATCATGAGATACAGAATCCTGGAAATAATAATTACCAAGTCAGGCAAGCGTAGCAATTAAACTCTATTATCTAAAATGTCAAAGGCAATGAATTTCAGAGCTGGAAGAGTCCACAGACCATTTCAACTTCCTCATTTCACAGAGAAGAAAATGTGACTAAGAGGTGAAGTGATTTGGTCAAGGTTACACAATCAATGGCAAGACAGGGATTAGAACCCTGGTTTCCTTCCTTCCACATTGCTACATAATTTAAAGTTTCAGGGCTATACTCAAAAAATGCTATGTTTCTAGTTGGTAAAAGCACAGATTTCACTAAAAATTACAGAAATTTTCTGGAAGACATATAGCAAAACGTTAACAGTAGTTATCTCCCAATAATGAAATCACAGGTAATTTCCATTTTCTTGCTTTTGATTATCTGTAGTACTTAAAATTTTTCAGCAATGAAGACATATTAATTGACTGCAATAAAGAACAAAATTTTTAAAAATATGTAAACTTCATGAGACTAATGAAAGAGTACTTACTTTCCTAATGTCATCTAAACTAGTGATTTCAGGTGACATCCCTCCATGGACACACAGAAACTGCTGGTTTAAGAGGGCAGCAAGAGGAAGACAGTCAAATGTATCCATACACGCATCATACACCTGTTCAGAATATTTGATTCGACCTATTAAAAAAGGAAAAATAGTCAAAGGAAGAAAAGCTAACATTTATCATATATGAAAAAAGACATAGGTCAGAAGATTATGAGCTATTTCAAAGTCATTTATTTCAGGCAAACTTGAAAACACAATCATCTTTGTAAAGACATTTTTGAAAAGCTGTGGAGAAAGGGTAAACAAAACCTCTCTCCTTCTTGAAAGACAAGGGTGACCTTGGATTAACTTTCTAGCTCTGTTGCTAGAAGCCTGATAAAGTCAATGTCAGCTGTGCTATTAGGCAACATTGCTTTTAGTAAAAATTACCCAAATCTCTGGTGGGAAACTATAGCTTTCGGCTTCTCTGAGTGTGGTGACTCATAAGGTATGCCCTTTGTGGGACTATAGAAACTATGCCAATGAACCTTTTACAAGAGATATGAACACTGGTAATGCACGAGGCTTCTAAGCCAGCGTGGCTCCTAATGTGCCCAGTGTGGATATTGTCTCCTTGCACCATAGCTGTGACTTGGAGAGGTTGGGAAGAAAGGGAGGTAAGAGGCAGAAAACCTCTGAACTGCTGTACGCACTCCTATGAAGACGACTCCACTGAAAAGGGATTGGATGCCAAGCATGGCCCATGGTAGTCTTGTGAGTCTGAATATTTTGTTGGGTCTAAAAAGACCCCTTGTTGGTGTTGAAGATATATAAATGGAAACCAGAGTTTTAAGAGTCGTCAACAATCTTTTTGCTGGTAATTTTAAGGTCTTTAAGCAAATTATGTCCTGGTTCTATTTTAGGTAAAAATGTTCATCTTAATGAATTATATTTTGATGTGGTTGTCACGCTGGGGCTACAGAACAAGGAAATACTCCAGTGGGCAGAGGGTGAGGTCTCCACAATTACTGAGAAAGAATAGGTCATGAAATAATAAGTGCAAAAGTGGAAGAAGGCTTTAGTTTAAAGAGAAAGAGAATATCTTCTTCCTCAGCTTTCAAAAAGTCAAGCTGTGCTTGGAGACGTACGTTGGCAGAAAGGCCAGAAGTCATACAAGTAGGCCGCCCTAAAGAACTGTGAGCTCCTTCTCTTCCAAGTTTCACTGGAGATGAGACAGAGCCTACAGGACCTAGAGAACAAAGCTATAGCAAGCGAGTGAGATTATTTAGTTGGTAATTTTTTCTGTTTATTTCCTCCTTGAAATTGCCAAGCTTTTAGAAAAGACATATTTAAGTATCAGAGCCTGGTGTTGGCAAGGCTTTGGGGGAATAAAGTGAAGGGTAATGAGTCCAGACTTGGGCCAGATTGCAGGACACAAGTGGCAGGAACAACTGGAGAAAGATGTCTAAGGGGAAGGCGTAAACCAGTGGACCACACTTGTGGTTATGAGGCTCTCCATCCCTGAAAGTGAAGCTTCTCTCTTTATCACCAACACTGGGTGACCAGGGTCAGAGGGCATTAAGGGAGTCTGTGGGTTCCTTTAGAAACTTTAGAGCATTTTGTACTACCATGACAGCAGTTAAGATCATCTCTCTCACAACATATGCTAACTCTATGATGACATCCAAATTAACAAGAGACGTGTCTTACGCATCTTTGTATCTCCTTACAATTACATCCTTACATTCTGCTTTGTATTTTAACACTATAAATTTGGGGTATTTCAAAAGTAGATCTATCACTGGCCATAAAGTCTGTTGGAGGAAAAAAATTTAACAAAAAAATCCTTTCATTTGTGAACAGTGATTGACTCTTTCTCCTGAAAACCCTTGGAGCCTGAGTTCTCTCTGTGGCCAATATCAATAAAGAATTCCTTTGTAAAAGTCCTCAGCTTGCATAGGGGCAGGGATTTGAATTACTTATTAATTCACGGTCTAAAACCTCATTTTTAAATCAATAAAATGCCTTACAACACTAAGAATGACTCAAAAGAATTCCTTAGCCTAATTCTAAGAGGATGCCAAGTCTTGAGAAAGATGGTATGTAATACAGTGTCTTAACGCATTTTGTAAATTAGAACAGGAGGTCACAAACCAAATTAAGCAGAAAGAAGTTCATGTTATATTAACACATGACCAAAACAGATTACAAAACGTTACCATTTTCATTTTCTTAAAGTATATGAATACATACGTAAATACCAACATTTTTATTTTATGAGGTGTAAAATTGAAGATAATATCTATATTCTTCTTTAAGTTAGTTTAGCTGTATTTTCTATGATGGACATATAGTATTTGTATAGTAATATTATTACTATACTACCTTTATTATTGAAATTTGTTGAAGGCTCACAACGTGCCCGTGCCATCAGTGAGCTAAGTGTTCAACACAGCATGGTGGTCAAGAGAATAGAGTCTGGAACCTGACTGCCTGGATTTGAACCCTGGCTCTATCACTTACTAGCTATGGTACTTTGAACAAATTACTTAACTCTCTGTGCCTTGATTTCTTCATCTATAAAATGGGCATAATAATAATACTTACCTATATTACAAGGTTGCTGTGAGGATTAAAGGAATTCACACACACAAATGCTTTGAATAATCTCTGGCACACCATAGGTACTACATAAGTTTTAACCAAAATTACCTTATTTAATCCTCACAGAAACTCTATGAAGTAGGTACTATTACTATCTTCATCAAAAAGCTGAGGAAACTGGGCTTACTCGCCCAAAGTTGCAAGCTAGTAAGTGGCAGAACTGGAACTTGCAGCTGTTTATGCTCCTAACACCAGGCAATATTCCTCCAAATCATTATTTTTAAATTAAATACTTAACAGGAGAATCTAAATAGCCAAATATATAATTTCCAAAGGTTAAATCAGCTGACTCAAGTTCTTTATTTCACGACAAATTTTAAGATATAGCCCCTAAAACAATTATTTTTATAATGAAGGAATAACGGACCTAAGTCATAGGATTACACTGACACAAGTTCTAACTGGTATCAATAATACAACATTAACAAAACAAAATCTTCAACAGTATTCTTTGAAAGTAATTTTAAGGGTCAGGACTCTTTGCAAGAAACCATGACCTGGTCTAGCCATCAATTCTATATTTGTTTTAATTTTTATTTACTTTTGTTATTAAAAAAATAAGTAATACACTTACTTGGTTCAAAATTTAAAAGCTACAAAAGGGTATACAGTGCCTCTTACCCTTCTCTGCAGGCAACCAGTATTACTAGTTTCCTGGGTGTCTCTACAAAGATACTCCATGCATACATACGCAGATATGTATATTTATTCTCTTTTCACAACAGCCTTTTGTTTTTTAGATAAATGGTAGCATACACTGTTTTGCACTTGCTTTTCGTACTTAACGTATTTTGGAGATCATGCCACATCTTTATATGAAGAGCTTTGTAATTATTTTTTTAAATATCTACATAGTATTTCACTTTATGGATATACCACAATCTAACCACATCAATCTCTTGCTACTATAAATAATGCTGTAATGAACGACAACAAATAATATTTGCTTATTAAAAAAAAATCAGGGGCCAGCCCCGTGGCCGAGTGGTTAAGTTTGCATGCTCAGCTTTGGCGGCCCAGGGTTTGGCCAGTTCGAATCCTGAGCATGGACATGGCACTGCTCATCAAGCCATGCTGAGGCGGCATCCCACATGCCACAACTAGAAGGATCCACAACTAAAAATACACAACTATGGACTGGGGGGCTTTGGGGAGAAAAAGGAAAAATAAAATCTTAAAAAAAAAAAAAATCAACCTGTCATAACAATACTGTTTTCGTTAGCCAAATGACAGGAATTTCTGGAACCTGTCAGTAAGCTGTTTATTACACATCAGAAAATAGCTCATGGAAACAAGAAATCAATTTACTTAAGAAATCTGGACCCAGAGCTATGAGATGGAATCATAAAAGCACTAGACTTTTTGCTTTCCAAGTACATAACAATAAAGAAATATTTTTGTGGGGCTGGCCCTGTGGCCGAGTGGTTAAGTTCACACACTCCGCTGCAGGCGTCCCAGTGTTTTGTCAGTCCGAATCCTGGGCGCAGACATGGCACTGCTCATCAAGCCACGCTGAGGCGGGGTCTCACATGCCACAAATAGAAGGACACAGAACGAAGAATATACAACTATGTACCAGGGGGCTTTGGGGAGAAAAAGGAAAAAAATTAAAAAAATAAAAAGAAATATTTTTGCAAAGATAAATGATGTGTCAAAAATTAACTGTTATACTTTGCTACTCAAATTATCTCTGGATTTGAAAGGAATATAAAGAAAAAGAAAAATCTCTGCAATATAAGAATTGACATAAGAAAAGAAAAGCCTCCACTGGCCGTTTAGAAATATTAACAACACTGCAGCTGCAATGTGGGGCTAAGCGTCACTTAACAGTAATTACAAGGCGCTGATTCCAAAAGCCACAGTGGCCCTTTAGGAGAGGCTGGCTTATCAGTGAAAACACCCATGGAAAGCAGTACCCATGCTCTTTCCTCATATAGAAACGAAACTTGAAACTGCACTTGACTTGGTGTGCTTATTCCAAGACTTATTTACATTTCAGATGCAGCATTCGAATCAAACAGGAGTGTCTTGGTAGGTAAAAGAAAGAGAAAGAAACCTGGTTTAACAAAATTAAAGCAAGTGAAAGCAAATAAAAACCTGAGATAAGAAATTCTGTGCAAAATGAGACACTTAAAATATTTCCCAGATCTATTGTTCCATCTTCTATAAATAGTCTGAACCAATTATACCAGTCAAAAAAAGAACTCTGAAAAAACAGAGGAACAATTAGATAAAATGTTACCTAAAAAAACCTGAACCTTAACTCAGAACAGAGGCATCCATAAACAGCTTTCTTCATTACTTTCTACTGCTAAATACTGAGCATTACAGGGCCTTTGTTAACTGCTTGATATGCATTATGTATATTTTCAGGTAAAAAAAAAAAGGTGTAATGAGGAATACCCCAATATTTGACTTAGAAAAATAATGCAAAGTATTTCCAATTTTTAAACTATTAGACGAAGTGATCTCAAATGACAAATAGTAA